GACAAACTGTTTCGTCGGAGTTTATATATATATATATATATATACGACGATATATATACGACGATATATATATATGTCCTCTTCTCCCTCTCTGCCTACGGTTTACCGGGCAGTTCTATTTGACGATATATATATATATACGACGAAACAGTTTGTCACAGCCCCTCGTTTGTTGTCCTCTTCTCTCTCTCTGCCTACGGTTTACCGGGCAGTTCTGTTTGTGACGATATATAATATATGTATATAAATATATAATATATGTATATAATATAATATTATATATATTTCTGTTGAAATATGAATCCGACCCAAGTTCGAGTCCAGATTCAATCAGATGAACAGAATAGAGTGATTCTAATTGGCAATTACCTGGGGCCCGTGAGTTCAATGATCATACCTCAAGGCCGTCGCCTTAAAAGAAAAGTATCCGTTGGAGGGACCCACTGAGGCCATCGCTGGTAAGTACATCAGTAATCATCGTAAAAATATGAACAGAGAGAAGACGTTGTGTTGGCTTGTGGACTGATTGCCCAGTCTCTGAGTGCTGAAGAGGTCTTTGGCCAAGCAGGAGAGAGAAATTGAGAGAGAGAGAGACTCTCTCCCCAAGCCAGGAGTGATTTGGATCCCACATTCCATGTTGATGGGTGCAGTTTGTGTGCTTTATGGCGTGCATCAGCGCTGCTACTGAACTGGTCTGGGGCCTCCTTGTGCCCTTGCACAGAACTTCAAATCTGTTTGGCACAGTGGTGGTTGTAATCAGAAACAACGTCTTTGTAGTGTTATTGCCTGTCTCTGCTGCACGCTTTGATTCTTACATTATTCGTGTGATTTTCTGTTGATTGGCCTTGGGTGCCCTTGCGCAATTCGATGCTTCATCTTGTGCCTATGCTGCTGTAAAGACACACTGCTGGGGTTGGGATTTGTGCTAGTTGGCATTTCCTTATGTACCGAGTAAATGCACCACGGGCGGTAATAAGGTATGGATGCCATCAATTAATATCAGTTAATGGAATGACAAGTGAAATCCTGTCTTGTCTTCTGCCTGTTTGCCTATCTTGTTGGACTGAAGTTGAGGCTTGACCCTGTTCTTTTTTCTTTTCTTTTCTTTTTGTTTTTTGTTTTGTTTTTTGTTTTGTTTTGTTGTGGTTTGGGGCTAGGGTGGGGTAAGGATGGAGGAACCTTTTTAAAGCTTGGGCGGCTTGGGTGTGTGTGGGTGCGTTTTGAGTTTCTTTTGCCTTGTTTAGCTTCGTTTTCTTTTGCACCCCCCGTGTCTTTGCTCTCTGTGCTGGGAAGTTGTCAAAAGCCTGCCCCCACCCCTGAGTGAAGGAAAGGGCATTTGAATGCTTGACTCACATGGTTCACGTCTGCCTTCATGTGTGTGTGTGTGTGTGTGTGTGTGTGTGTGTGTGTGTGTGTGTGTGTGTGTGTGTGTGTGTGTGTGTGTGTG